ATATATATGTATATATATATATATATATATATATATATATATATATATATATATATATATATATATATATATATATATATATATATATATATATATATATATATATACATTCAGAACGTTCTCACTCAAGATGCATTAATTGCATGTCTTTTTTTTCTGCACACCTTCCCTTCCCTTCCCCTAACCTCTCCTCTCTCCTATACCCTCCCATCTTCCCCATCCCATATCCCCCTCCCTCACTTTCTTCCATTCCCTGCCTAGCTCAACCTATACCCCTATTCCCCCCATGTTTCTCGTCCCCTAATTACCTACCGCCAGTCTTCAGGACAACATACTTCAGCCCTCCACCCTACCCCCTTAAACACTACCCATTCATCACCTACACACACCATTATCCCTATATTCCCCCCCCCCCCCCAACATGAGTATTACACCTTTTCCTCTCCCCTTCTCCTCGTTCTCTCTCCTTGTCCCTTTTACTCGTCCCTATCCTCGTCCCGTCTACCTCGGACCAACGGGGCTAGTGTCGAGGCGTCGCGCCTGGGACCCTTCTACACATACACTTCAGCTTTAAATGTGCTGCTTCTATTATCATCATTGCCGCCTCTCCTTGTGCAAAAGTCGGGCGGGCAACAGCTCGCTCATGGTATCTGCAGGAGCGGTGCGTGCGTGTGCGTGTATGCGTCCATATAAGTGCGTACGTTCGCGTGTATTTGCAGGTTTGTTGTTTTGTTAAACTGTGGACCGCCTCCCCTCCCGCTGGCCTCATGACAAGCTGAACTTTCCAGGCAACACATAAGTTGCCAGAGTTGCAACACATAAGAGCAAGAAGCGAGGCAGCCTTGATGAATGCACCTCAACTTTACTTCCCCCAAGTTGTGGAAGACTCCTGGTGCAGAAATTTAGATAAGTCTTGAAGAATCTTACACTTTAATCTATAATGTATATAGAGAGAGAGATTAAATTAGTTTGAGAGCAGGTCTTCTCTAATACACATGGCATTAAAGACAACAGCATTGTGACTATTATTAATTTTGTTGACCAGACCACACACTAGAAGGTGAAGGGACGACGACGTTTCGGTCCGTCCTGGACCATTCTCAAGTCGACTGTGAATGCATGTCCTATTATTAAATATCTTTTGGATATTTTCCATTCTCCGCAAATACCTTCTACCATCTGGAGGGTGAAGGAACACTAGAACACTTAATCTTTCCATTTTTTAATGTAACATCTTCAGGACTACACTGTTGAACTTACACAGGTATATTGAGCTTACAAGGTTGTTGTTGTGGAGTAGCACGGGCTATGGTGAGCCCGTAGTGGACTTACCTGGCACAGGAGCGAGGCTGTAACTGCTGATGGCTTACAAGATTAATGATTGATAAAGATTAAGCCACCCCCAGAGGAGGCATGGGCATGAATAGCCCGTAGGTAGAGGCTGTTTGAAGCTAGAACCAGTACCAGTAGCTGGCACTGCTGATCTGTGGATGAATGAGGATCTGGGAAGTGGGACAGTCAGAAGTATACTTTCCTTCCCCCGTATCAACACTCTTTACTCCCCATAACTATCTTCTTTGTGAACTTATTACTCAATCTAAACCCCTAGTTGAATAGCGACCGTCTCATTGGGCCCCTGATGGAAAAAGTGCTTATACACTTTGAGTCCCTGGAGGAATAGTGTCCCTCTCTTCGAACCTCCCTGGTAGGATTGCGACCGTCTTGAATGCGAAAATAACTTTGAATTTTGCACAATTTCCATCCTAACTTCTAGACTGCTGGAAACACGGGAGACGGAGATTCGTGCTTCCGGCTTTACGAACTAATTATGTAAATTCGCTTAACAACCTCGTTGGATTCAGTCGGTTTCATTCCTCTGGAATGAAGATACAGATTGGGAACAGTCCCTTTCCTGGGTGTGGCGTGCCCTTGGGTGTGGCGTGCCCCTGGGTGTGGTGTGCCCCTGGGTGTGGTGCCCCTGGGTGTGGCGTCCCTGGGTGTGGTGTGCCCCTGGGTGTGGCGCCCCTGGGTGTGGCGCCCCTGGTTGTGGTGTGCCCCCTGGGTGTGGCGCGCCCCTGGGTGTGGCGACCCTGGGTGTGGCGTCCCTGGGTGTGGCGCCCCTGGGTGTGGCGCCCCCTGGGTGTGGTGTGCCCCCTGGGTGTGGTGCCCCTGGGTGTGGTGCCCCTGGGTATGGCGCGCCCCTGGGTGTGGCGCCCCTGGGTGTGGCGCCCCTGGTTGTGGTGTGCCCCCTGGGTGTGGCGTGTCCCTGGGTGTGGCGCCCCTGGTTGTGGTGTGCCCCCTGGGTGTGGCGCGCCCCTGGGTGTGGCGACCCTGGGTGTGGCGTCCCTGGGTGTGGCGCCCCTGGGTGTGGCGCCCCTGGGTGTGGCGCGCCCCTGGGTGTGGCGCGTCCCTGGGTGTGGCGCGCCCCTGGGTGTGGTGCCCCTGGGTGTGGCGTGCCCCCTGGGTGTGGTGCCCCTGGGTGTGGCGCGCCCCTGGGTGTGGCGCGTCCCTGGGTGTGGCGCCCCTGGATGTGGCGCCCCTGGGTGTGGCGCCCTTCGGGAGACCCAAAAGTACACCCCAGGACCCCCCAAACACAACTATTTACATGATAAAAACAACCCACATCTGTGGGCGAGGGACATAATTCCGGTGGAGCACGAGTGAACAGTTTACAAGGGGTGGATAGGGAGAGGGATAGTTGGGGGATAGTAGGGGGAGGGAAGGAGTGACATAGCACCAATGGGAGGGGTGAGGTAGGATAGGGAGGGAGGGAAAGGGGGGGAGGGGGAGAAGGGAAGGGGAAGAGCACAATGGCGGTCGGTCCAGTAGGGGGGTGAAACAGCCACCATCCCATCCTCAACCAACCACCTTCGCTCACTGGTCAGATATACTCGATCATACAAATTAATACAGCATTGTATGTCACTAGCATACACTGTTACACGGCGTCTAAATATAATACGCTTTTTTGAAATGATCTCTTCCCCCTCGTTCTCATTTTCGAACAAGTGCAAATGAAACAAATTAACCTTCACGCCGATGAAATTGTCCAAAATCCAAATAAATCTTTCATAAAACAAATGAACGTAACGAAAGGGAACGGCATTTATAGTTCTCTCTCTCTCTCTCTCTCCGGCTATATGGTTTGCAGTGCTATTTATACACTGAACAATACACAGATTTAGACCTGAAAAGATTAGATCGATCCAACCATTATTTCTTTAACCTTCCACTAACGTGTTCGGACCACTAGAGTGCCATACACAAGGACGTTCCCTCCCTCTGGCTTTACGGTCCAACCACCCACGTTGAACTTGCCAGAAATTGGATCTTAAACGCTCTTCTCTTTAGCACTATAACGGACTGTCTGCTATTTTTTTTATTCAAGAAAGCGGGCAAACTAAAGAAGTTTTTTTTCTTCAGGCTGTCAAAGAAGGTTGTGAATTATTTGTTCTTGAAGTGACGCGGAAGATAAATAATTTGTTCGTGGGGGTCTGACGGTTTAGTGGACAGCGCTCGGGATTCGTAGTCCTAAGGATCCGGGTTCGACTCCCGGCGCAGGCGGAAACAAATGGGCAAAATTTATTTCACCCTAAGTACCTCACTTAGCGGTAAATAGGTACCTGGGAGTTAGACAGCTGCTACGGGCTGCTTCCTGGGGATGAGTAACAAAAAGGAGGCCTGGTCAAAGACCGGGCCGCGGGGACGCTAAGCCCCGAAATCATCTCGAGATAACCTCAAGAGAGCCTAGGACAGGAAATATGCGCTCATAGATCTAAGGCATAAAGTACCAACTCACTGACCAACCACTGAAACTGCAATGACAAAACCGTACAATGAAATGCCCAAAATCCCTCGTCAATGATTCATGTGGTGCATGACGAGGCGAGTTACTTCCCAGCAATCTATCTTGAGATGATTTTGGGGCCTAGCGTCCCCGCGGCCCGGTCCTCGACCAGGCCTCCTAAGGCAAGCAAATTCAAATTATTTGAAGATATACACACCGAGAGGTACACACCTCGCTTCTCGGTGTGTGTATATATATACACAGAGTTTGCTTTTGTCTTGACCGCTCTAATGGCCAAAATATACTTGCAAGTTGGTCAATCAACTCTTGTGGTGGTTTTAATTACTCT